TTTTTTTTTTTTTTTTTTTTTTTTTTTTTTTTTTTTTTTTTTTTTTTTTTTTTTTTTTTTTTTTTTTTTTTTTTTTTTTTTTTTTTTTTTTTTTTTTTTTTTTTTTTTTTTTTTTTTTTTTTTTTTTTTTTTTTTTTTTTTTGTGAAAAGGAAACCAATATAAATCATGTCAGATCTTGAGGTAGCAACTAACACAAGTCAAGTGAAAAACAAACAAATGTTTTGTTTTGAGGGAAAAAAAGAAAAAACTTATACAACCAGGTCATTGTAAGTGTTCACACACCTTAACTAATTGTTTATTAAAGCACCTTTTGCTTGTAATTCAGCACTTTCTACATTCAGTCTTTTTAGGGTAAGAGTCTAGCAACTTAGTACATCTTCATTTGGTAAATTTATTCCACTCTTCCTTGCAAAGTGCTCCAGATCGGTCAGATTGTGAGGGGGTCTCCTGTGCACAGCCCTCTTCAGCTCATTCCACAGGTTTTCTTTTAGTGCTTTGGGTTGTATCGTGCTGGAAGGTGAAGAATTTCTTCATCAGCTGGTGTTTAACATAGACCTGAAGGTTTTTGCCAGAATTGAATGGTATTTGGAGCCATCCATGATTCCTTCTATCTCGATTAGAGCCTCAGACCTGAAGAGCAGCAGCTCCAAGCATCACCATGCTTCCCCGTGGGTTCGGTGTTCTTCGGGTGATAAGATTACACAGAAACAGCTGGTCTTTATTTGGGGTTAATCAGAGTCACTTCGTTGATGACAGCTGTATGAAAATTATTTTTGAACATGAGATCGAATGTGATTGGTTCATTCTGAACACAGTCACATCCCCAGGTATAAAAGGGTGTGTATACTTATGCAAACAGGTTGTTGAAATTTTCTTCTTTTTCTTTTTTTCCCCCTAAAATATTTCTTCTTCTTTATGATTTAAGAATCCTAGCAATGTGCCTAATACACTCGTATCAGCACCACCCACACTGCCATACCTGTGTGACTGAGTGAGAAGGGTCCACCATCCATGTTACACCTGGGCAGCAGTGGCCCCTGTGTAGTCCCTTTGAATCAAGTGGGGTTTGAAAGTGAGAGTGAAGAACCATGTAGAGTAACACACTCTGCAGTGATAAGTAGAAATCTTCAATAATGTTGATTATGAAAATACATTGTTTACCAAAAAATGTAGGAGTGCACAGGCCTCTATTCCTGGGTAGAATGTAGTGCCAGTTTGAAGTCACAGGGGGCAGAACCAATGCAGAGCACAAAAAACAGATAGACTTGCAACATGAAGACCTCTTGCTTAGATAACAAGAAGCCGAAAGGAGCCGCCAAACTGAATGTGAAAAAAGGTTTAATGTCGCTTTGCATTTGTTTTGAGTTCATATGAAGGTGAAAACACAAGGGTGAACTTTTTCTCTCTCGCTGACAGAACACTGAATGAGAGCAGCAATGAGAGCAGCAATGAGAGGAAAATCTTAAACACTGATAGTTTCACTCAGAAAAGCAAAAGCATGGTACACTGCAGTATATGCAAAGTGTAGATGTCTTTGATAGCAGCACATCAGCGAGATGCACGAATATTAAAAACAAAATCACTTGGAAACTCCTGCTAGTTCAGTAGAATGCACTAAATGTTCGATGTTATCGCCACATATTACACTTTATTCAAAGGGGCTTGATATTTTTCTATGTAGAAGTAAAATATGAGGCCGGTTAAGTTTGCCTGGTTTAACTGTTGCTCGTTATGATCGATGAGGCAGTCTGTGTGATGCAGAAGCTGTGTGTTTCAGTCATCTTAGTCCTTTAAATTTGCCTGTTTCAGGCCCCTTACCCAAGAGGAGCTGGTGGGGAAAGGAGAGCTTTTGGACGTCCTGATGATGAATATATCCGAAACTTTGACTATGACTCTCCTCGCTTTTACCCAAACGGTGGTCCCCGAAACTACCACAATGAAGATAAGAAAGGCTACCATAGCGACAGCCACTACTCTTTCTCTAATGAGTCCAGAGGAGGCCCAGCTAATCGAAGGGTAAGGGCTGAAGCCATGGCATGCAAAATCACCTTAACTTTTTGCAAGTCAGGATTAGATAGAAACTGTTTAAATGAGAACATAAAAGATACAATGAAACCAGCCTAAATTAAGCAGAGAAATACACTTTATTTTAGCCTTCAGTTGTAGAAATAACAAACTCACATTCCTTAATGTAGCACTGCAATCTTAAGGTCTAATAAAAAATCATTTGTGTTGTTTAAACTACTAGAAATAGCATAGTCCAGTAAAGAAACCTATTCACATCAGTTTAATTTTCTATCATGCTATTGTGTACAGAATCACGATAAATATTAGTTTATAGCTGTGTGTCCTCACCCCCAACAGGAAGACTACCCTTATTACAGAGGACCCAAAGATGATACTCATTCTGGACGCCAGGTGGATTTCAGGTATTCACAGTGTTATGCACACAGATGCAACTTGTGCGTGTATATGACATGTATTCTGAAAGTCTTGTATCAATGCATTGTCACAGGAACAAGTAGGTGATTGGAGTTAGTTAGATCAGGTCACTGCAACCGGTTTAATTTTTCCAGTGCTCACAAAGTTCAGTTGGCCTCGTGTAGGGAAAGTCATGCTGATCAGCCTCCCCATTCAAAACAGCCGAAAACAAGGCTAGGCATGCAAATATAAAAGGGATTACCTATTTGAAATATCCTGTGATGTAGATTTGACAATATCTTGCATGCTGTGATAAGAACAAAAATTATAAACCACAAAGAGCCTGCAGTTGAAGACTGAAAGCTGCAATAAGATGTATAAACATATAACATACAATTAAAACATTTCAATCACTTACCAATAGACCTTGGGCCTCAGCAATCTTTTAGTAACGTTGTGTGTAAATGTTTGCGTAAGCCACTGGATTTATAAAAGTTTTTGAAAGGCTGATTTTCTGTGTGCTTGTGTGTGTTTGCTGATCACCTGTAAAGTGCTTTCCTAACATGGCTCGTTTGCATATAGTGACGCCCACAAAACTCCATAAAAGGTAACGTGCACAGACAGCTGGGAGCACGAAATGAACAGTCAGGGTCAAGGCCGAAAAACAGAAGTGGAAGATATATGAGTCACTACCATGTCACTAGAAATATTTACTAATATTATATATATGAATAATAATAAGCGAGCTGTAAATCCTGCGTCGGCTGAGGCGTTTGTTTACGGCTTACGGCTCTGCGCAGACAGACCGGTTCTTTATCGTAACTGAATGATTAGTTTTATTTTTCTTCATTTATGGTTTGTGTTTTTGTTTTTTCATATACTTTAATTAATATCAATAATATAAATAAATAAA